GGAATAAACTCTCTTCAGGTTCTAATTCCACACCAGATAGAAGGAGAAGAATAATGGGAGAAGAGAGAAAGCTTTCGCCACAAGCCACCAATAATTTTATTTAATTACCAACTCAAAAATTACAATGCAAAAATAGGTTTAAATAGTAAAGCAAACCCTAACGAGACTGGGCCCGAGCCCATACAAGTCCGATTCTCTAAATAATAGTCCAAGATAATAAATAAAGCTTAACTAGAAAATAAAATAAATAAATATCGGATGTCCTCATCAACTCTTCCAGGGTGGGAGAAAACTCGACCCTGTCGAGTGGATATATCACTGTATACTGTAATCAATATGATACTCCAAATGTTTCAAGTCAAGCCATGAGGGATGATCTTTCTGACGAACCAAGTAACGAAATTCCATGATTGATAGTATTGAAAATTATAGCTTATTCCCAGAAATATGATCTGACCAAGGGGGACGATCTTTCCTTCTAACCAAGTACTGATACTGGATTCCAAATAACCAATACGCATGCACATCATTTTCAAGATTTTCACATGATTGTACATAATGAGGAGCATAAGAAGCACGTCGATCTACCTAACAAACAAGGAAGTACTGAATCTTGCCATCATTGGTCAATACAATACGTTCATCTAAAATAACATCAATTTTATCTTTGTGTGCAATGACAGATGGTATTGAAGTAGAAATATGGCTTAGTGATCACATAGGGAGTTAAAGTATACAAGTGATGTGAAATCCAATTCCACACCAGATAGAACGGCTCATAAAAATCACTGGAAGCACAATCAGCATTTATGTATCTATTACGTCATATGCAGAAACCTAATCGATTATTAAAAACTGCATCACTAAAGATGAAGATATACTCAACTCTTTCCTTGTCTATAAGCCCACCCTGCACCAAGCAAATACAAATAATCTTTAAATTTTGTGAATATAAAATAAGGCACCCATTCTATTAAAAACTTTGATTCTTTATTGAATTTCTTATGAAAAGGAATTTTAAATAACCATTATAAACGTCAACATCGTGTCATGGAGAAAGGAAAAAATGGTAGACATAGTGATGTAGCATAGGTTGAGAAATTTAGAATCTGTGAAAGTTGAAGAAGTCAGCACAAGAAGCAGAATACATAAACAGCTAGAGAAGAAGGAGAGAAGGGAAGAAAAGAGAAGAGAAGGGGCGATGGAAAATGGAGAAAATGCCTGCAACACTCAAACTTCATTTCATTTCCATCAATTCTATCCCTCCATTTACAGAAAAGGATTGAATATACAGCAACACAAAAATATAAAATGCATGGGCCAGCCTACCTATATAGTGCAAGCCCAATACCAAATATAAAAAGGCTTGCAAGCCCAATACCAAAACACTAACTAGCCCAAAGCAAAACTAGAAAAAAGACCAAACCTACAGCATAAAAGGGCCTTCGGCCGGCCCATAAATACAGCCCAATTCAGCTAATAAAACATAAAATAAATAACATACAAGTAGAAACCCAAAATATGTGATGTCCTCATCAACTCTCCCAGACTGGGAGGAAAAACTCGACTCCATCGAGTGGATAAATCATAAAAGACCACAGTGGACGATCTTTCTGAAAAACCAAATATCGAAACTCAAACTTGATCCAGATTTGTTGAGGCTTTGCTTTGACAATCCATATAGAGTCAGCCTCGGGTCGATCCACCCAACGAACAAGAAAGTACTGAATCTCTCTATCATTAGTAAAAACAATCTGCTCATCTAAAATAACATCAATTTTATCTTTGTGTGCTGTGACAGATGGTATTCGAATAGACATAGCAAAAGATTCAGTGTGGGAGCTCTCATGTGGAGATAGAAAATGGTAATCAAAATGGTCAAAAGAGCCTTAGAACGAAGTCATTAACAATTAAAATAGGGTAATGATTATAATGTGATGAAAGATCATTGACATATGTATTTGGATCAACATGCTTTAAAATTTCATAAGGACCAGCATTACGGGCTTGCAATATAACATAATCCCCAATATTAAATTCAAAATGTCGTTTATGCAAATCAACTTGAAGTTTATATGATGCATTTCTTGCTTCAAGTTGTTCATTAATCTCAGTATACAAGTCATGAAGATGATATACAAATGCTCCAGCTGACAACGACACACTCGCATGCGGGGACATAGGAATAAGATCTAACGGCCGCCTAGACTTATAACTATGAACAACTTCAAATGGATTTATACCTAGAGACCAATTCACAGAAGTGTTATATGCAATTTGAACAGTTGGGGGATCAAGTCCCAATTCCCAAGGTTTTTCTAGACTAGAGACTTGAATAAATTGCTTTGACTTTGGTTAACGACCTCATTTTGACCATCAGTCCTAAGTTGATTTGCAGTGGAGAATTTCGATTTAGTGCTAACCATAGGTGATTGGGTTCTCCAAAAGTGACTAGTGAAATCATGAGATATAGTATCTAGAGTCTCAGGAAGAGTCTGCATGCCACCTAAGGAGGTGTCCTTACTATCATCATCAACATCTTCAAGTTTAGGTTCATATACTAGATCTTCTAACGACTCTTTTATTACATTCTTCTATGACTAAGGCTCGGTTAGGACATTTGGAAGAGATGTGGTCAAAGTCCTTACAGCTAATGCATAGCAAGTGAGAAGAAGAAGTCCTTGGAGTTTCAAAAATTTTACCCTTGTTTTCCAAGATTGGAGGAACATTAGACGGGGGAGGTCCTAGAAGGGACTTAACAGGTATCAAAACAAACACCCCTTTACAATCTCTTCTACCCATTTTTTACTTCTATTTCATTTTTTCTTTCACTATCTTCCTTCTTTCATCAATGGGTGCTTGCACCGCGGTGAATCCAGCACCATTGATCAGTCGCTGTGAGCAGGTAATCCATCGCCTTAAGTGCCGTCGCTGAGTTCGTTGCGCACAGCGGTGAGTCTCACTCGACTGCGTAAACTCTGGTTGTTGGGGCGCGGCGCTCTATGCGTGGCGACGGATGTACAGTGGAATTGAGACGTGACAGCTTCGCTTGTGGATCCGAACTTTCCTCCAATGTTGCGTATCATAACAGCGATTTGAACTTCACGGCGCTGCTAGTGGAAGTTATTGCGGCGTTGCAATCGCCAGCAGAGATTTTTGTAGTATTTTTCGACGATTTTTTGTTATGGTTTTTGAGGTGATCGTGTTGCAGGTGATGGTAGCTATGGGTTTGTGGATTTTTTTGTGGAGTGGTGTAGATGGAGATAGAAGAGGTGAGTGGCAGTGGTGGTGGTGTGTTGTGGGTACATTGTGTGGTAGTGTGTGGTGGTTTTGTGGGTGTTGTGGTGGTGGTAATTTTGGAGAAGATGGTTCTAAAGGCAGTGATGCTTATGGTTGTCGAAGTTTTGTGTGCAGTGGGTTTGCATTGATATGGTGTGTGGTGGTGCCGTGGTGGTTTTGCATGGTCAAGTGAGGTGGTAGTGGTTGTCAGTAGATGGGATGGGACGGGACGGGAGGAGTTTGTGACCGATAAATAATATGTGATCCAAAAAAATGTAATTGTTACTCACAATTTATTAAGCACAATTTATTAAGTTGTGATCGAGAAATTAATTGTGACCAATTTAATTTGATAATTTGTGACCGATAAATGAATTGTGACCATAAAAGTTTTGATTTCGTGAACGATAAAATTAAATGGTGATCTAAAAATTTAATAATATGTGACTAAAAAATAATTTCTGACCAACTAATTTGAAAATTTGTAACTACCAAATAAATTGTGACCTATAATGTTTTTAATCTGTGATCGCTGAAATAATCAATGATCTGTAAATACATATCTGTGATCATGAGTTATATAATTGTGACCTTAATATAATTAATTAATAAAATATTTTTAATTAATTAATAAATACCGGATTTTTGCAATTTTAAACTTAATATTTGAAAATTGATTTGATGCGTACTTAATATTTGATTTATGATTTTTTTCCCTTTTTAAGAAATTGAATTTAGTATACAACCTCGTCTCGAGGTTAGGGTATTATCCTGGCCATCGAGGATATGTTCTCGGCATCAAAGGTGATTGAGGGCATGCATGGGTTGACTACCTCGACTTGAGGATTATATGATGTCCTCTCATGAAAGTCTATACTCGACCTCTCGAAGAGTCGAGGTCTGATTGAATAAGGATAATCATCAACTTCTCCAAGACTTCTATTTAATCTTAAATTTAGATATTGACGTCAACAAGAGAGGCCACTTTTCAGTTTTTGCCCCTCATAACTTTGCCTCTTAGCCTCAAATTTTTTCAAATTATTTTTTCTCGATGTTCATTTTTACATTTTTAATTTTTTTTAATATTTCCCCATAATTTTTTTAACAATTATTTTTGAAAAAATCACTTTTCAAAAAGTCAAATTCACGTCTATCAATGATTCGCTTGGATTGGGTAGGGTCCATTGATGTTACTGTTTATATACCAAATTTATGTACATGCAACAAAATTCTCCAATCCATATCGAAAATGATTGTGCTACTTGTACATCGAAATTAACAACTAGGGATATCAAACGGGTCAAGCGGCTCGTGGGCTAGTAAAAAAATGTGAAAAAAAAGTTTGAAAATTTTAAAAAAAATAATTTCGAGCTCGTGGGCCAAGCGGAGCTCAAGCTCGAGCTTGACTCATGTGTTTAAGGGCCGAGCTCGATCGATCCATTGCCACCTTTATTTATAAGAAAAAATTTGGATGTACAAAAAAATTTTCACAAACTGTGTACAGAATAGAGACAAGTGTGAATTTCATGTTGTATAAAAAAATGTCAAAATGTGTGTGAGCCCAAAATTGTGAGTTTTCTATACGTATTTTCGCAAAAGGAAGGGTCGTATTTACAATTTCTCACAAAGTGCGACACGACAAATCATGGGTTCACCCTTGTTGTGGGTCCCTCTCTTGTGAGGGAGATACATTTCCCTAACAAAAATATTTATTATTCCTTGACAAATTGGTCAAGGTACGCTGTCACGATCGGATTCCCTGCTCCCGATAGATACATCCGTCTCGATATATTGCCCCCATCGCTCTCCCCTTTAGCGGAGCACAATGGCAGCCCGTTTTGCCCTTCTTTTCCTTTCCTCAATACTTCTCGCAACGTCGTTTTGGTCCGCCGTAGCGGGCGGCGATGCCGGTGAAGTGGACGATATTCTGATCCGTCAAGTCGTTGATCAAGGAAATGCTAGCGATGATAACTCGTTGACCGACGATCATCGTTTTGAGATCTTCAAGAAGAGGTTCACAAAGGCGTATGCTACAAAGGATGAGCACGATTACCGGCTCACTGTGTTTAAGGCTAACATGCGCCGCGCCAGGCGCCACCAGAAGCTCGACCCCTCCGCCATCCATGGCGTCACTCAGTTCTCGGATCTCACTCCCAAAGAGTTTCGCCGACGACACCTCGGCGTTAACCGACGCCTCCGCCTCCCCGTTGACGCTAACAAGGCGCCGATCCTTCCGACCAATAACCTTCCCACTGACTTCGATTGGAGAGACCATGGTGCCGTCACGCCAGTCAAGGATCAGGTTATTTTAGCTGAGATGCAACTTTTTCTTTTTCTTTTTTATTGGAAACGAACTGTTGAACCAAGACTTGAAACGATACTAGAAAAGGAGTTCAACGATTCGATTTTAAATTTCCTTATGTTACCACCTAGGTATTGAATTTGAATCTAGTGCTTAATTTGGTGGCTCTCTGCATATGATTCTCACTGGTAATTTTCGATTGTGTAAACTAGGGTTCCTGTGGGTCATGCTGGTCGTTTAGCACCACTGGAGCACTGGAAGGTGCGAACTTTTTGTCTACGGGAAAGCTTGTGAGCCTCAGCGAGCAACAGCTTGTGGATTGTGATCATGAGGTGCGGCTTTTAACTCTCTTTTTAAGATTTGGCCTTCTAATGCTGTGTGTTCTTGCCTTTTAAGAGCATCATTGATCTATCTGACACTGCACATCAGGTTACGTAGTCTGAACATCGAGTGGCTATTTACTGGTGAATTTTTTCTCCTAATTGAATGTTTGAATGATCTGAAAAGTTTTATATAAGTGATCAAATGATTCATTTGGATTCCGATACTAATTATTGATAAATATAGAACTTTCTATTAAACTTGTTGAAAACAAATTATTTGCTCAGCTATCTTTAAATTCTAGGTTTTTGAAGTGGTGGTTAGATGGTGTACTATGTAAAATGCGTCTTCATGGAAGGACTCATAAAAGCTCTATAAATTTTGAAAAGTTAGTTGTATATGATCTGACATATAAGTGCGCACTTTCCCTGTTTATATTATATTCTCATCGATCCTCAACGCCTAAACCCTGTAGTTCATCTTGAGAATTGGGCCCGTTTGCATAATTTTGTTATGATTTGGAGTAGGCATAGTATTCTTATTGTTTATGTTACACTGACTAATTAGATATTTTACCTTTCCCGCCTCTAAATTACTAATTCTAGATTGTATTTATATCAATTTCCACTATTTGCAGTGTGATCCAGAAGAAAAAGATTCATGCGACTCTGGCTGTAGTGGGGGACTGATGAACAGTGCCTTTGAGTACACTCTTAAAGCTGGTGGACTCATGAAGGAAGAAGACTATCCTTACACGGGCACTGACCGTGCAGCTTGCAAATTTGACAAATCCAAGATTTCTGCAAAGGTTGCTAACTTTAGTGTCGTGTCCCTTGATGAAGATCAAATTGCTGCAAATCTCGTTAAGAATGGTCCTCTTGCAGGTAGTGTATTACTGTCCGTTCGTATAAGCCCTGTTAAAATCGAGTATTAAGAAGTATTATGTCGTGACAGCAATTTTGTTTGTTGGGTGCAGTGGGTATCAATGCCGCCTTCATGCAGACATACATAGGAGGGGTGTCCTGTCCGTACATATGCTTTAAGCGAGTGTTGGATCATGGAGTGTTGTTGGTTGGGTATGGTGCAGCCGGCTATGCTCCGATTCGACTGAAAGAGAAGCCATATTGGATTATTAAGAATTCTTGGGGAGAAAAGTGGGGAGAGAAAGGATACTACAAAATCTGCCGTGGCCATAATGTTTGTGGGGTGGACTCGATGGTTTCTACTGTTGCAGCTGTTGGTACCTAAGTGTAGGATATGAGGTTCGCTGTCGTATTTATCTCTTCATTTCCGTTTCTGTACAAAGTTATAACTGATTTGCTTGTTACTTTTTAATGGCAGATCAGGTCTGTTGGGGTTATGTATTAGATGTAAACAATCAAAATGTCAGTGTATTATTAATCACTGCTGCCTGTTACAAATTTCAGTCCCTCTTGATATGATTAGGTCTCATTTGCTGTGCGAATTGCTTCAGACAGGAGAAAATGAATGAATAATTATAATGGTACATTTCAGCTACATTTCACGTCATTTTCACCCTCAATTACCAAGGACACTTGGTGAAAAGTGAAAAGAGGAAAAGAAGTGAACGATTGACGGAATTTTTTTTTTCTCAAGGCTTCCAATGTCTGATATCTGAGCTGTAGAGTAGGGGGGTGACGATGTTTTGCGATAGGGCACCAAAGGGCCAGGGAGAGATGGGGTCAGGGGAGGACTGTAGACGCTGGAGGAAGCGAAGGGGGAAGGTACATTAGGATTGGTACAAAAATTAGACTTGTTTTAAAGGAAAAGCACAATAACATATATAAGACGACAAAAACATCATATTATTTGATTTCCTTGCAACAAAAATGCAAAATCCATGGCAATCTACATAAATAAAATACAAGGATAAGATTTTATCATCCAATCGTAACACATAATCATAGCTACTGAAATCAATTAAATAGCTGCAGACCTCAGAGACCGCTTATTCTTCCCAATGACAAATAATACAAGAGAAAGCATGCTCAACGCAAAAGCCTTTCCAGTGGCAATAACTTCAAGTTTTATTGCCTCTTCTGTGCATGGCATCCAGACGAAAGAATCAAGAAACATCCCATGATTGTACACATTCGAACTCCTAATAAATCCTTAATTAGCCATAATTTAATAAGATAGTAGAGAATCATTCCTCCTCATAATCAAGCAAGGCAAATGAGTACGCATAGAACTTGTAACCATCTCCCTCGTAGAACTTGCTTTGAAACTCCACCCAGTGAAGCCTTAATGCATGCAGGAAGGCACTGAGAGTTTCCATAACTAACAACACTCCCAACAGTCGCACAAATGAAGATGATGATGCCAACTATAACAATAATTACGTTATTGTACCTGCAGCAAGTAGATGGTTGAATGGTTTTAGGCTTGTCCATATAATTGCATCGACATTTCACAGGTTAATCATGCTTTTTTTAATGCTTCCTTGGGCTTAGTACACTTGACTTGGGAAAAGGGCTCTGGTGCATTTATAATGTAATCATGTCAAAGAAAATTGTTAACTCACAAAATTAAAAGAAAAAGAAAGACGAGTATATGATTTTCTAAAAATTGGGATTGAGTGTGCGAGTAAAGGTTTTATACATTGTTCCTTTTTCCCAATAGTGGATTTAAAAATCTACTATCAAGTTAAAAAAATGTGTATAATAGATAATAGATTAACTTACCCCCAAGCAAGAAGAAGAACCTTCTCATAGAACACACTGGACAACTCAGAGTGAGCAAGGCTGAAGAGAACCAGAAGAAAAAAGAGCATTAGATTATTAGCATATATTTATCGATGTTAATGTATTGAGCAATATTTAATAAAACATGAAACAAAGAGTTCAGGACTCTGAAACTAGTATAGGCTTTTTGTTATTTAAACCACTGGTGTGAATGGAGACATCTACCTAACTTTAGGTATTTTTCACAATTTAAGCAAATATTCACAGCATATTCATGCACAAATTTATCAATAATTCATGCTCTGAAATGAGACTAAAGGCATGTGATCAAAGTTTTCAGATTTGACCCAGCCATCCGAGCCAAGTGGTCGTTGTAATATCCCGAAATTTTATTACTAGTCATTAGATTAAAAATTAGGACTTAAGTGCGCCATTATTAGAGTCTAATGACCTTATTGGTTATTGACTTAGTTAAATTTTTTTTGATAAGTAATCAAATATTTTATTAATCATGCATAATGAAATGTATTATCAATTAATACAAGACAGAAATGACATGAAATTGGACAACCCGTCTATGTGAGTAATAGCCACAACATTAAACCAAATATACAATGTCAGATAAAACAATTCTTTAATCTGCTCTGTTGTCCGTGTATTATCGTCGAAACGACTATTTCTCTCCCTCCAAACACACCAGATGATGCATCTTGGGACAAGGTTCCAAACAATCTTGCTATCTTTATTACGAAATTTTTCCCCCATGCCGTCAAAACATCCTCCATACGCTGTGGAAACACCCAATCCATATGTTGATAAGCCAAAATATCGTTCCATAGGGTGCGAGCAACGTCGTAATGAATTAACAAGTGGTCAATCGTCTCCCCATACCTCCGACACATATAGCACCATTCCGCAACATAAAAACCCTTGCATCGGAGGTTATCCACCGTTAACACCTATCCCTTCACAATCGTCCATACGAAAAATGTCACCTAAGAGAGCAGTTTACAAAGCTATACTTTCTTCCATGGGAATAAACTCTCCTCAGGTTCTAATAAAGATAAAAAATAAGAGCTTACTGAGAAAATGTCATTGCATGCCAACGTCCACCTGCTACGATCACTTTCGCTCACCCTAACGTGCACCTCATACAAAGAAGTCAGGAGTAGTGCATAATCATCCAATTCCCAATCCTGTAGACCCCTCCCAAAAACAATGTTCCAGCTGGGATTCTGATGCAGCACCAATAGAAATATTAAATGTAGAATGAGAAGAACAATTAACAGGAAGAAGAAATCAGAGGGGAAGGGATGAAAGAAGAAGAAAAATCAATAGAAGGAGAAGAATAATGGGAGAAGAGAGAAAGCTTTCGCCACAAGCCACCAATAATTTTATTTAATTATCAACTCAAAAATTACAATGCAAAAATAGGTTTAAATAGTAAAGCAAACCCTAACGAGACTGGGCCCGAGCCCATATAAGTCCGATTCTCTAAATAATAGTCCAAGATAATAAATAAAGCTTAACTAGAAAATAAAATAAATAAATATCGGATGTCCTCATCAACTCTTTCAGGGTGGGAGAAAACTCGACCCTGTCGAGTGGATATATCACTGTATACTGTAATCAATATGATACTCCAAATGTTTCAAGTCAAGCCATGAGGGATGATCTTTCTGACGAACCAAGTAACGAAATTCCATGATTGATAGTATTGAAAATTATAGCTTATTCCCAGAAATATGATCTGACCAAGGGGGACGATCTTTCCTTCTAACCAAGTACTGATACTGGATTCCAAATAACCAATACGCATGCACATCATTTTCAAGATTTTCACATGATTGTACATAATGAGGAGCATAAGAAGCACGTCGATCTACCTAACAAACAAGGAAGTACTGAATCTTGCCATCATTGGTCAATACAATACGTTCATCTAAAATAATATCAATTTTATCTTTGTGTGCAATGACAGATGGTATTGAAGTAGAAATATGGCTTAGTGATCACATAGGGAGTTAAAGTATACAAGTGATGTGAAATCCAATTCCACACCAGATAGAACGGCTCATAAAAATCACTGGAAGCACAATCAGCATTTATGTATCTATTACGTCATATGCAGAAACCTAATCGATTATTAAAAACTGCATCACTAAAGATGAAGATATACTCAACTCTTTCCTTGTCTATAAGCCCACCCTGCACCAAGCAAATACAAATAATCTTTAAATTTTGTGAATATAAAATAAGGCACCCATTCTATTAAAAACTTTGATTCTTTATTGAATTTCTTATGAAAAGGAATTTTAAATAACCATTATAAACGTCAACATCGTGTCATGGAGAAAGGAAAAAATGGTAGACATAGTGATGTAGCATAGGTTGAGAAATTTAGAATCTGTGAAAGTTGAAGAAGTCAGCACAAGAAGCAGAATACATAAACAGCTAGAGAAGAAGGAGAGAAGGGAAGAAAAGAGAAGAGAAGGGGCGATGGAAAATGGAGAAAATGCCTGCAACACTCAAACTTCATTTCATTTCCATCAATTCTATCCCTCCATTTACAGAAAAGGATTGAATATACAGCAACACAAAAATATAAAATGCATGGGCCAGCCTACCTATATAGTGCAAGCCCAATACCAAATATAAAAAGGCTTGCAAGCCCAATACCAAAACACTAACTAGCCCAAAGCAAAACTAGAAAAAAGACCAAACCTACAGCATAAAAGGGCCTTCGGCCGGCCCATAAATACAGCCCAATTCAGCTAATAAAACATAAAATAAATAACATACAAGTAGAAACCCAAAATATGTGATGTCCTCATCAACTCTCCCAGACTGGGAGGAAAAACTCGACTCCATCGAGTGGATAAATCATAAAAGACCACAGTGGACGATCTTTCTGAAAAACCAAATATCGAAACTCAAA